AAGACAGTTTATCAGTCCAGACCTGATTTTGTAACAGCCACTCCACGTTCTTTCTGTCTTTAATCCCTTTTCTTTACAGTTCATTTAATATACAATTTGTTGAATGCATACTATGTGAAGGTCTCCAGGTACTCAAGACTAAAAATTTCCAGATTTCAATGAGTCATGTTTCCTTCTTGCATAAATTCTAAATTTCTGTCTGGTTTTCAAAGCTCAGAGTTCCAAATCTCATCCCATGGTTCCCTGTATTCCTTAAAACATGATTGCTCAGAATAACCCTCACTGTGTTTTGCTTTGTATTCCGAGCTGTCTTGAAATACTAACTAAAATGTCCGTACGCACATTGCAATTGCATTAATCACAATTCTCCAGAGACACATAACCTATAACATAGGGAGATGTAGAGATACAAGAGATAGGATTCATCACAGGAGTTAGTTCATGTGAGTGTGAAATCTGAGCAGTCCATTGTAGACCATCTTCAGCAGGGAGGACCAGAGAATGTGACAGTATGGCATAGTCCAAGTTCGAGTCCTCGTTCCTCAGAGGGCCCAAGGAGTTACTGGTATAAAAAAGCTGTTGAACCTGGATTTTTGCTATATAGGTATAGAAAAAGAAGGGTGTCCTAGCTCCAGAAATGAGAGGCAGTGTAAATTTGTCTTCCTTTATTTGCTCAAGCCAAGACACCAGTCAACTGGATGGTGCCCACACACAATGATTAAGGAAAATATCCCCCTATATTCCACTGAATCAAGTACAATCTTCTGGAATATCCCACACATGCTCAGAAATAATGCTTTCCCAGATCACTGGGTATCCCTCAGTTCCAGAGTAAGAGCTAACGTCAACCAGTTTAGTCATAATTGCCTACTTTCATGAAGACCTGAAAACTGGTATCTATTTTATTTCAATCCATAGGTGATTGCCATGTAGAAGTGAAGAGCATTTTTATAAAGAAATTATTAAATCAAACAACATATCTCTAAGTTACCTGGGAAAATTATAGTGTGTGTGTGTGTGTGTTGTAGTAGTAGTAGAACATGGCAAAAATGGGAGTAGTTATGTCTCAAACAACATTGAACAAGATTTACTTCTTACATACTTTGTCCCTGCTTATAGAAATGTATATAAACTTATTCAAAACATTATGACACTTTGTGTGTGATTTTTTTTCAAAGCTTAGTTATATAGTTTTTGCATGTGAATTTTGCAGGCAACAATGTTCTATGGCAGCATCTGAAGGTTAGACACATGCACTGCTCCTGGATGTTCATAGCTCTTTGATGGCAGCCTCGGACTGTCCAAAACCAATGCAGAAGCTAATGATGCTCTTAGAATCTGTCCAGAATTCAAGTAGCAACACTTTCATATTCTGTTCTCTCAAAGCCTCACAATTCAGCTTAGGTTCCACATAAGCAGAAATAGATGGTTAATAGAAAGACAGTTAAAGAATTTGCAATCATCTTTAATCTACCAACAACTATATTAAATAACAGGACAATATTCTTTGGAATATAAAAGTTCATTTCACTGAATATCTAAAACTGATCTAAATTACATACATGTTCCAAACTCAAGTGGGAAGACATAATTAAGCAAAAAATGGGTCTTCAGTTTTATATTGCTAGCTTTTGGGAAATGTCCTTGACAAAAAACTAGTACCCAAGTTTAAATTGTCCCTGATCAACTTTAAGGCTTCCTTCTCATTCTTTGGGCAGATCTTTCGATGTAAACAATAGGACCTGGACTGCTGCTTGTGAACCTTCTACATTCTAGAGGAAAAGGAAGAGCCCAAAGGAGAGGGGAATGAAAAATTGTTCAGAGAATAGAGCACCCATGTCAGTGGCAAAGCAGGTCAAAAGAAGGCATGCCTAAAGAAAGGGGAAACAAATCTCAGAAAGGTCTCCTAGGGCACAGAAGCGGGGACCTTCTGAAACAGTGAGGAGAAATGGTGAACTGGGCAGCACAGCTGGCTTACTTAGCTGTAGCATGAGGGCCGGCTTGTTGGGGTTTCCGTCCCGCCAGGTACCCCAACAGCCGGCAAATCCCAAAGAGAAATTACACACAGGACTCCATAAGGTTATAAACTGATTGGCCCATCAGATCAGGCTCCTTATTAGTCCTTGTAACTTACATTAATCCATTATCATTATCTATGTTAGCACATGGCTCCGTACCTTTCTCAATGTGACAGCTTACATGTTGCCTCTTAGGTGGTTTGCTCAGGAGTGGCGGAGGGAGTTTCCTCCTCCCTAGCTTTATCCTATTCTCATTGCCCCGCCTCTACTTCCTGTCTGGTTGACCCGCCTATACTTCCTGCCTGGCCAATCAGCGTTTTATTAAAATACATGATTGACAGAATACAGACAATTCTCTCGCACCACTTAACAACAGAGTCAAGTCTCTTCAGTGGGCAGTAGTTTATGCACCAGACTTGTATCTGCAAGGACCCTGGATCTGAGGAATTATAACTCAAAGATGAAGACTAGAAGATATACCTGGAACACCTGAACTTGTTTCTTATAAGCGATAATAATGAGGGAGGGACAAGTGCTGACCACTAGAGTTGTATATGTGGGGCACCAAGAAGTCTTTCTAAGGTTGAGTAGGGGATTGAAAGACAGGAGTCAAGGATGCCATCAAAATCTGTCTGTAACAAGTTGGAACATCCAACTTGCTGCAAGTGGATCAGGGTTGTTGTTGTTGTTTGAAAAATCAAGAGGTTAATTTTTAATGTCTAAAGCTGATTAAGTGGGCATGCAAGTGGAGATTTCAGTGAGGTGGATGATCTTAGAGAAGTCACCAGAATACAGCATTTTACTCCCAAGGCTTGCCAGAGTCATGTACAGAGTGAGAGAAGAGAGAAAAGAACACTGTAGGTACTGAGTCCTTGGGTGTCCCAACATGTGATGGTCAGGAGGACCTGGAAAACAGAGCAGCTTCAGGGTTAAGAGGCAAATATTAGTAGATATGGAGGAAATCATGAAGAAGATAATTTTAAATTCATATAAAGCTGAAAATAACCAAGAATATAAAAGCAAGAATAAACAAAACAAGAAGCATTTAAGTCTAGAATCACAAATGGAGACCATGGTGTCCTTCCCTCCAAGATGATAGAACTGGGGGAGGTGGGGGAGTCAGTAAGTGTAGAGGATTAGAACTGGAATAAGCGAATTCGATTTAATTGGCAAGAGGGAAATTTTAACACAGTTAAGTACTATCTAAAGGCAATTACTAAAGGTTTTGAAGATGTCAGTCTACCTGACTGTCTAATAGGGAATCAGAGGCCTGGACATTATCGGGGTAGATAGCCACTTCTGAGCTCAGGACTCAAAGCACAAGTGAGTCAAAGCATCCTGGAGTCAAAGAAATAGAGAAAGTTAAAGAACTAGATCTTAACCAGATCTGCTCAGTAGTGTCTGGAGGAGATGCAGATGCTGCCAGAGGCAAGAAGGGGTAAGAAGATGTGCTCTCCTGCCATCCCCCAGGCCTTTCACCCAAAGTTAAGAAGATGATTATGAAAAATAGACCTGGCAGGTCATCCCTCCTGCAATGCAGAGAGGAGCACAGACAATGGCATGAACTAAATATAATATAAACCAGGCAGGGGACAAGTGTACCATACACAATGATTTGTCCTTTGTCATGAGAACCATGGGAACTTGTTAAAGAATTTGAGGTCATAATTTGATTGGCACGCTAAAATTTTTTGTTCAAGTTATGGTGAGAAGATTTTATTGGAAAGGGAAGTAGATGACCATGGAAGAAGTTATGGGTCCATTTCATCTGTCCATGCAGAGACTCAAGTGACCCTCACTCAAGTAACAAAAACAAATTAAAGGCCAGTTGAGATAATAGACTATGTCCAAGTGAAGAAGGAAAGAGAATCAAAGATAACTCCCAGGTCTCTATCTTGAATAACAGGGGAAGAATATAGGAGAAACATACTGAAATAGGGAATACCAACTCGTACCAGACCCATGGTAACTCACTCAGCCAGAGACACTCTTTCAAAGTCAGCCTCTGTGTGAGCATGTGCATGTGTGAGCATGTGCATGTGTGAGCATGCATGTGTGTGATGCGTGTGTCTAATAACAGTCAGGCATTAAGTATTGCCTACATATTCCTTCACTGTAGGTAGGTTTGATTTCTGTCCTCGCACTTAAGAGCTGAGGAAATCAAGACATAGAAAACACAGTTTAACCAGGGTCACAGATCTGACAGGCACAGGGGCAGGCTAGATATGCATGTGTCTGCCATGAAATTCAAGCTCATGTCCCCTATCTTCCTGCCCCCTGGACTTCAGGCTGAGGCTGCCCCTTCTGACTACCAGACTCCTCTTCACTGTAGACGTGTTCCCTTCACATCATTTTCTATGATTCAGGCCACAGATACTATTTTTTAAAGAAAAAACCTTTTCTCAGTTTACCTACCAATCCCAGTTCTCTCTCCCTCCCCTGCTCCTACTCTTCCCACCTTCCAACCACCTCCCTCCCCAACAATCTACTCCTCAGAGAGGGTAAGACTTCCCATGGGGAGTCAACAAAGTCTGCAGGTCACAGATTCTACCGGAGTTTACTAGAGATATTTTTATAGCTGGCCTCACAGTGGAGAAAAATGTGCCTCTCGGCCAGGCACAAATGATATACAAAAGAGAAGTAACAAATTCTACTCACCAGCAAGAATTATGCCCAAACCAACCAGGATGCAGGTCTATCTAGTTATCAGGGCAGTCTGTTAGCTAAATCCTCCTATCAGGATCAATAGGACCAGGACTCTTCCTATGAAAGCCAAATGTCTTTTTAAGCTGAATATTGACCAGGCACAGGTGTGCTGCTAATCTGTTAATCCTTTCTCACCCATTAAAAAACAAACAAACAAACAAACAAAAAACATGCTAATAGAGTGTCTGCTAGTTTGTCTATTAACTGGAAGCAGAAAACCTTTGAACCAAGGTGATTGGGGTTTCTTTTCATTATTATTATTATTTCTTCTTATAGAGACATCTCAAGGACAAAGGTTCATTCCCTGCCCAGCCATGGCTTAGAAAATCTGAAGAAGCTGAGGGCCAGATCCACTTACCGCCTGAAGAAGCTTCCTAGTCTGGAAAAGTTTGTCACCCTTGTGGAGGCCAGCCTTACATACCCCAGCCACTGCTGTGCCTTCGCACACTGGAGACGGCAAATGTGAGTCCTTCTATGTCCACCCTGAAGTCTGGCATGGGCAACCCCACAGTGGAGAACCCGTACACACCGGTGGCATGAAAATCCACACACAGGGAAGGCTCCTGAATGAAGACCTGAGGCGTGTTCTGGGTCAAAGAGTCCGTTTGTAGAGGGTGAGGGTGGCTGAGTTCACAAGTTCTTTGAAAAATAATCTCAGAGGAAAGAGTGAGTCATATGGTGGAGCATCCACCAAAGATTAAGTGAGAAAACATGAGAAACCTCCAGCATGGTCTCTGACTCAGACTGATACTTAACCCCCTGCCCTTTCCTTGGTATCAATATGAATTTGTCTTTCCCGTGTCAAACTCTATACCTCATAAATATCCCTGTCCCATAAAATAACTAAATGCTCGTCCTACTGACATCAAAGTCAGCGAGGGAGGAGAAATGTAAAAATGCTTTCCACAGAATGTGTGCACACCTATAACTTCCATAGAGTGTGTGTACACCTAAAACTTCATTGAGTGCATGCACACCTGTAACTTCCATAGAGTGTGTGCACACTTGTCACTTCTCTAAAGCACAGTAAGCCACTCGGATCCACTGCAGACTTCAGCAACTCAGAGAGAGGGCAAAGGTTAAGACATCTCTTAGCATTGGCCTTGACAGAAGCTCACACCTAAACAGGATAACCAAAGCAGAGCCAAGTCCCAACTCTTTCAAAGTTGCAGTGATCATAGACGGAATCTGAAAAGGAAAGAGATGGCAGTTTTGCAGAAAAAGTCCATAAGCTCCAGACATTAAAAGGGTCTATTGTAGGAAAGACGCTACTAAATATCAGGTGTTCTCAAACCTCTCATTTCCCCCTAACCTCCACCAATAGGAGCCACTCTGCGCAGTCTCACTTGACTGGATGAGGCCTTTCCAGTGTCCTTAAATGGTAGCCCAGTGCCAAGGCAGCTCCCAAGCTGTGCTACTTTACATTTTAGTGCACTCTCATTAGTGAGCCTGGCTTTAACAGAGACTAAGCAGCAACAGCCAACTCACTTGCTCAAAGTAAAAGAAAGGCAAGGAAAAGAGTATTAAGACAATCCACGCCCTGCAATGCTCCCGAAGTAATGGAAAGTACCTAGCCCCGCATGAAGGACCAGCAGAGAAGGGGCTGCTTCTTAGAATTAGTGTACATCACTGGGAAACTGTAGCGCAATGCCTGCTCTATGTGCTATGGTAAGGTTCGCGAGTCAGACAAGGGGTTGGAGACTGAAACACACAGATAGACGGGTCATCCTTGAAACAAGAATGCCCCCCTTGAATAGAGACTGCCCAGTTTATTGTGTTCCAGGGCAGCTTATCTAAGGTCTCCTTGAATAAATGACCACACCCCAACTCTCAGCTGTAAGCCCACCAGAAACCACTCTCCCAGTCTTGCCCTCAGAGCAGCTGCAAGCATAGGAAAACAAGTTGTTTACAGGAAATTCAGAGTCTGGGGGTTCACAGTACCCAACAAAAATCTATCCAGGTTTAGGGACATCTCATAGATGGGCCTAACCGCTGGAGGATCTCTTCCCAACAGTTACAGTTTCCAAGGGCCATAGCGGAGGCAAATGGCTTGCCTTGTTCACATCCAGACAAGAATTCTTCTAGCCAATTTACTGCAAAAACCCTACAACAGAGAACCCTCAGTAGAAATCTCGAAAACTGTTAAGATCACTATAAGAGTAGCTGCTGTATGCCTTATGGTCATATGCCAGTGAGCCACAGGAAAGAATCTCTTACTTTGTTGCTAAGAGATCTCTGACTTTGCCACATTCTGGTTATATGTACATGACATTAGGTCTCTCTAAACCAGAAACCTCAAATTTGCCTTAGGTGTTCCATGCCATAAAGCTTTCTCTGGTCCCTCCAGGTCATTTGGTCTTTGTACCTCTGGGTCCCTGTTATAATTTTCATTAGTGGCCTGTAGGGGTAGTGGCCCACAGGTCTTCCATCATGTACCAAAACAAAGGTGTTTGATTCCTTTGTTTTTTTTTTTCACCTAACAGATTCACACGCGCGAGCATGCGTATATGCCCGCGTGCACACATACACACACCCACACAAAGATAATGGCTGGCAGGATTTTTCCTAAAATAGTGTCATTTCATTACTTATGTAAATAGAGGTTTGCTAATAAGATTTGTCTTCTAAACTGTTTGATGAAACTGCACTTCTTGTCCTGGTTGGAAAATAATGCCCACAATATAAATACAAGCCCTATGATTCCAAGAGGTTTGGGTTAACTGTCCCCCTGGACTCTTGGTGAAATGCTGGGTCAATCATATCCCTTAATTGTCATTGAGTCAGCTATTTCCTATACACAGCTAACTTTGTTTGGTTTCTCTTTTGTTCTTTAAGTTTCCTTGTTTTTTAGGCCATTTCCTCACAACTGTATTTTAACCAGTATACCATGACACATCCTTCCTGGTACCCAACATGACGTCGGTGAGCACCGTCAGCTGCTCTGCACACTGCTGGCAGAGCAGAGAGCTCCCTGCCACCCATGAGATCACGTTTCTTCTTTACTGCTGGTATTGCAGAGGTGAATCATCATTATCAGCATGATTCCCTTCTGCGACAGGCAGAGACTAGGGCCCAGACCTACTGATAGCTGCATCAGCATTGACCAAAGGAAGCTCCAAAGATCAATTCTGTCTGCTTCCATAGCTCAGGCCTTGGGGTACCCTCTGATGCCACCTATTTAGCTTCTGTCCATCAATGGCTGGACTCCTCAAGTTCCACTTTTAAACTGTCCCTATGCTAACTCCCCTTTCCTTATTCTACTGAGGATTTATTTGCCGAGACACTGCAAGGCAACACTTATTTTCTTTAGCTCAGTCTACGGCACTGGACACACATGCTCGCACCCTGTAGAAGCAAATGAGAGCTGCTCCTTCCCCCGCCACCAGCCTCTTCTTGTTATCTTGAGGGACATAAGTGCCTCTAGTCAGTGGGTACCTTCTGTTTCAAGAAAAGGAGAGTTCACTATTGAGTAGATTGGTAGTAACATCAGTGATGAGGATTTTCTTTACTAAAGCCAGTAACCCCAAAAGAGGAGACTTTCTCTACATAGTGAAGTCAGTTCCTATTCCCCTGAACCAGACTGCAATTCTCAAGCACCAGAGAAGTTACCTTCTGCCCCCATGGCTGGATTGCAACTAACCCCAGAGATGGGATTCGAACTAAGCACCATAGAATGGCCCCCTGTCCCCTCCACACCTGTCTTAGGGCTTGCCTCACTTTAGCTCACAGACTAAACTCGATGATCTCCTGGATTCCCATTCCAGCCATTTTCAGTTTTGTGTGTTAACTGTCATTAGTGTAGCTAGGACAGAACTGAAAAATCTTTTCTGGGTTCTAAAATAAAAGATGATACTCCAGAAATAAAGTAAGAAAGAAAAACAGAATCTCTAAAGTCAAGAGAAAAGATTCTGGCCATTTAGCTCCTTTCCCATTGGTGAGAGAAAAAAGAGCAGGGTTCTCCACGACGCCCCTTCTCACTGGGCAGGGAGGAGGGGAAAACTCAGTCTATGGTACTGGACACACAAACTCACATCCTGTAGAAGCAGATGAGAGCTGCTCCCCGCCCCCAGCCACCTACCTCTTTGTATTGGGGCTTTTGAGGGGCTTGAATGCTCTTTCTTACTTTCCTGTTGTCTGAGATTGTGTTAAATTTGAGAAAATGCTAATTTAACATTTCTGTGACCTTTCCCCTTGAGCAGGAAAGGAAGAGTAAAGATATATGTTTGAAGGAAAAAGATACATTTGATTTTTTCTTCCCATCAAGAATTCTCTCAATGTGAAAAAGTCACAATGGTTAAGTCTTTATATTACAGAAGTATCTCTTCTCTCCATGTGAGAGTCTGAGTAGATAATTATGCATACACTTGTAGGTTCAATATTTACCACCCGGGTTTCATTCAATTCTTTCTGTAAGTGCCTCTATCCTGCTGACAAGATCTATTATGTATTTGGGCTTAAAGGGGAAATAAAAGACAGGAGAGTGCCCTGAGAGGACTCAGTGACTCCTGGGATATGCAACAACCTGCCAACAAACTAGGCCCCTTTAAAGCCTGCATTTGCTCCGCTGGCCGCCCACGGGGGAACTATTTCATATAACAGAACTCGGCTTATTTTGCAGGGCAAATGAATGCCTGAGACCTACTGTTGCCTCTAGGGAATGAGATGATAAAGTCCAAGATCCTGGTAGCATTTCAGGAAAATTAGCTGGCCTCTCAACAGCCTGAACACCCAACAGCCAAAGGATGGGGCTGCCTGAGAATTAACTCCACACTCATATTCTAGTTTGTGCAGATAACACGAGCAAATAAACTCTCGTTCGTGTCAGAGAACAGAATCTCCCAGTGATTAGAGTAGAGAAATGAGAGTACATCCACCCAGGCATGCTAGAAGATGCCTGAATGGAGGCAGGCAGGAGTGGAGTAAAGATAATATCAAGTCTGTAAATTATTTGTACTTAACAGCCAGGGTTAGCCCCAGGCGCCTTCCTTCCCACATACAGGTTGTGGCCAGATGGTTTCCCCCATGGGCCATCCAACTCAAGGAATAAATATATACACACATTGCTCTCTTCATTTACAGTAAGCAGCATTAACCCATGAGTCAGCCTCAAGGGCAGACAAGATGTTGGGAAGTAAAGCAATCTCAAGAAGGAACCCTATTATTTCTACTCTCTACCCATGATGTTGATTCTATTCCTTTCTGTCTTTTTCTAGCTCTGAACTTCATCCGATTTGCAACAAATCTGTTTTAAGCCAAGATGTTGATTATGCGACTCAGGCTAAGGAACAGAGCATCTCTCTGATAGACGATGACCCCAGTTATGAAAAAGATTCTGACATGATGTATAGTGAATTTGACTACGACTTATGTAATGAAGTCGTTGCCGTGACCTGCTCTCCAAAGCCAGATGCATTTAATCCATGTGAGGATATCATGGGATACAACATTCTCAGAGTCTTGATATGGTTTATTAGCATCCTGGCCATCACTGGGAACATCACAGTGCTGGTGATCCTGACCACCAGCCAATACAAACTCACCGTGCCCAGGTTCCTGATGTGTAACCTCGCCTTCGCTGATCTCTGCATTGGAATCTACTTGCTTCTCATAGCATCTGTTGATATCCATACCAAGAGCCAGTACCACAATTATGCCATTGACTGGCAAACAGGAGCGGGCTGTGACGCCGCTGGCTTTTTCACCGTCTTTGCCAGTGAACTCTCAGTCTATACACTGACAGCCATCACTCTGGAAAGGTGGCACACCATCACCCATGCCATGCAACTGGAACGCAAGGTGCAGCTCCGCCATGCTGCCAGCATCATGGTGATGGGCTGGATCTTTGCCTTTGCAGCTGCTCTCCTCCCCATCTTCGGAATCAGTAGCTACATGAAAGTGAGCATCTGCTTACCCATGGATATTGACAGCCCTTTGTCGCAGCTGTATGTGATGGCCCTCCTTGTCCTCAATGTCCTGGCCTTTGTGGTCATCTGTGGCTGCTATACCCACATCTACCTCACAGTCAGGAACCCTAACATCGTGTCCTCATCAAGTGACACCAAGATTGCCAAGCGCATGGCTACACTCATCTTCACTGACTTTCTCTGCATGGCTCCCATTTCTTTCTTTGCCATTTCTGCCTCACTCAAGGTGCCCCTCATCACCGTGTCCAAGGCCAAGATCCTCCTCGTTCTGTTTTACCCCATCAACTCCTGTGCCAATCCTTTCCTTTATGCCATCTTCACCAAGAACTTCCGCAGGGATTTCTTCATCCTGATGAGCAAGTTTGGCTGTTATGAAATGCAAGCCCAGATTTATAGGACAGAAACCTCATCCACTGCCCACAATTTCCATGTAAGGAAGGGCCACTGCCCCTCACCTCCCAGAGTCACCAATAACTCCAGTTACATGCTTGTTCCTCTAAGTCATTCAGCCCGGCAATAAAATGCAATGTGAAAATGGATCATCACCTTGAATGGCAATGACTTCCTTCTGAAGAGTAGGCCAGGGAATAGCTGGCAGTGTTTCTACACTTGCATCTAATTTCATCTTCCTGGCTCTGCGCACGGCAAACTGATCAGGAACTTAACTCACGTGACTCCTTTAAGAACTACATTATTAGTAACGGCAATTAAAGTAAAGCCATACTGCAGCACGCTTGTTTCCTGCTTCTGTTTGGATTGTCTCAATCGATTTTGTAAAAATCATGTTCAGGAGGCTAAGTGGGGACTTGTCCTAGAATTTTACAGTGAGGAAAACAAGACTCTCAGCAACTTGTCTGAAACCGCTTGATGTATTAGAAGCAGAGCCAGGATGAGGTGATCCGACTTTTCCGGAATTTCCAAGAGAAACGCCGCAGCATCGTGCAAATATTTATTGAATACCATGACAGCTTTGTAATGGGTCAGGGTGTCTGGGCTCAACTACATCATCCAGAAACCCCTCCTTGGGAGTTTCGAGTTAGGGTGGGCCACCCAGAGAATTCTTAGGAAGACATAACATCAAAAAAGCAGTAGCTGTACCGTGGTCAACACTACATTGCAGAAACTGATTCCACCAAGGCAGTCAAGGCCTCATGGTGGGGGATCACTCTACTTTCCCCTGGATCACCTTTTGAGCTCTCTGAGTGAGTTCGGGGGCACCTGTGTGTTTTTAGTAGTATAGTGAAGCACAAAACTTCTGTAGGATATTTTATCACCAAGGTCACAAGCAACAAGAACAGAAATGGGTTCAGTATATAGGGCTATACCTTTGTATCTGTTGAGTGTATGCTCACGATCTTTCCTTTATGAGGACGTATGCCCTGAGGACACCGAGCGCCAACATCAGATGTGAGGACAACATCCTTCCACACCCTGCTTAGGCAGCCTCCCAAATGTGGGAGAGACAATTCCCCGTAACAAATATTTACCACCTACATATATTTGCATTCATACATATGTATGATTGCTTCTGCTCCTCTGGCTGAACATTTTCTAATGGAAAATACACCTATTATATGCATGCATATAGATTACAATGTTAAGGGCGCAGCAGCTTTGAAATCAGAAGATTTTATTTTATTCAGATTCTGTAATAAGCCAGGACCCATGGTCTTCAGGCTCAGCCTCTTCCCCTGCAAATGCACCAGCTGTATCTTGAACCTCTAGTCCACAGTGAGGAGGAAGCAAGCACTTACAAAGTGCCTCGTGCTGCAATAACTTTAACATCTATTAGTTTGCTTCTCACCTCTCCGATCAGTTCCTAAGCGAAACCAGCTCACCTGGCCCTCAGTCTAGAATTTTTCCTGTTATCATTTAACGTCTTGATGGGGTTCGTTTCCTCTACCTCTGAAAGAATAAAAAAGACAGGAAAAATCTTGAGCACTACAGGTAGCGAGCGACCGAGGAATTCTCGGACTCGGACAAACAGAGTCAGCTTGTGGAGAAAGGCTTTTAGTGGGCGGGGGAAACATACACAGCAAACATGCGAGGGAAAGACCCTCTGTGGAGGAGAGGAGACACTCAGAAGCCTGGGGTTTGGTGTCTCCTTGGGCCAGGGGGGTTTAAGGATCTTTGAGAGGTTTTCTTCCCCGAACGTAGGGTTGATTTGTTTGACCTTAAAGACAGAGCGGCTAACAGACCCACAACTTTGGAATAAGCTTTTCTTGATCCCACCTCGAACTTGTCTAGTGTCAGGAGAAAAATTCCACCAGGGCTTGACGCCTTTGTTTCTCGTTAGGAACATGACGAAGAATGTGGAAGTCTGTCGTGTTTATTATCTATTCGTAACACCTTTTCCTGTCTGTCTGTCTGTCTGTCTGTCTGTCTCAATCAGTCAGGGGATCTGTCTAACTCCTAGCTCTTTCAGTCCATTGTACTACAGCAATACTGAAAACTGAGCATGCTACCCACACCTGTCCACAGAAATAAGCCTACTGGAGGAACTAGACCACACAGAACCACCGCAAATCCCTCTAAGCACTGTGCAGGTCTACAAAGGTCCGAGCACCATGAATAGCTGGGTATGGCAGGGGGAGTGGCCTCTAAGGGATAAAACTGCTCTGTCCATGTGAGGTCACTGCCTGGAGCTGGTTCCCTGGCTGCCTTCTTGTGCCCAGAAAGAAAGGACCATGTTACTCCTCCCAGTCATCACTTCTCTCCCCTTCTGTGTCCTCTCCCCTTCCCTCCCCTCCCCTCCCCTCCCCTCCCCTTCCCCCTTCTCTCCTCTCCTCTCCTCTCCTCTCCTCTCCTCTCCTCTCCTCTCCTCTCCTCTCCTATCCTCTCCTCTCCTCTCCTCTCCTCTCCTCTCCTCTCCTCTCCTCTCCTCTCCCTTCTATGGATTTTTCCCATCAGCACCCAGTCTTCTCCTCTTAGGCCAGGTGCAGACGGTCCTATAGGATTTCCCAATTTAGATTAATGGTGTAAAATGTTCCTGTCTCTCCCTCCCTCCCAGGCTCCACCCCTGCAGAAGCCAATTGTTGATTTTTTTTTCTCGATTCTTTCTCAAGTAGGTTTGTTTTTCCTACTCCCTAAACCTCTGAGCCAGAGTGAGTGGGGGTTTATACTTCCAACCCCTGAGTGCCCAGCCTCCCCCTGTTGAAATTTTAGTCTCTTGTGCACCTGGTGGCACCTGGGCTGGAGATGGCATTGCCCTGTCTTGGCTTTTATAAATATCTTTTTCAAGTTTGAACCTCCAGGTTGAGAATCCCCCGTGTCTCTTTGACTTGGTAAGCAAGGATCAGGCGTTGGGGTGGGCAGGAGGGCTGTAATGTGAAAAAACTTTCTTCTCTTTTTCTACCAGTGTTGTAGATGACTTTCAATAGCCAAACTCCCATTTGTACTTTGGATTGTTTTGTTTTGCTTTGTTTCCTGCTAAAAATCATTCTCTTACACACAGATTTGCTGTAATATTTGAAAAAGGAATAAATGCCCCTTAAAAAGAAAAAATATTTGCCAAAGAGTGAGAGGGGGGCAAATTGCCTCCCACACTGTCGAGGATCCTCAGAACTTTGAGAACTTTGGAACAGTGTTTATAAAAAAAATGAAAGCTTTCGTGAAAGAGAATTTCTTCTTCTCAGGGATCTTCTTGGGGAACCCTCCTTGGCTAAGGTAGTGCTGACTCAATGGTTCCGCTGCCTCTTTTGAGGTGCTGACCTTATGCATTGGCCTGCTCAAGGGGGTACGGAAGCCCCTATTGCCTCCTTGGCAGTCACATCTCCCTGGGAGTCTTGTAGCTCTGGTTGCCCATGGTGGGGTCTACTAGAGAAAGCTGCCCCCGAGCTGCCGTGGAAGGGAAAAGTTCAGTGAGGATGACCCAGCCACTTGAGGGACGGAGCTGAGCCCCAGTGCGAAGGAGGCAAAGCCAATTGCACTCCCGCTCCACAGCTGCCCCTCAATCTCCTGCATGCAAGAATGTGCTGGCCAACATTTTAAAGGTTGTTCCTAAATGTATTAACAAGGGCATTCTGTTGAAGCCAGACAAAAATGCAAGTCACCTTTGTCCATGGCATTATTTCAATACATTGTGAGTGGAAAATGAAAAATTGAACAATATTTCTTGCAAATATTTTAGAGCATGAAGAAAAAGACAAGGGGAGAGGCAGAGGGGAGGTGGAGAGAGACAGAAAGAACGGGGAAGGAAGAAAAGAAAAGGAAGGGAAAGAAAGACAGGCATCCCACTTTCAAAACTAGAGTCTGCACCAGTAAGGATGTTCCGAAGACAAAGACTTACTAAGCCCTCCAGTTTTCCCCTCAACTCCATATCTGAGACACAACTACACTGATATGTTCCGATTTTTGCTGTTATATTAAACACCACATGCACACACACACACACACACACACACACACAATCATCGCTATCATCCACATAATATTTAAATATCAAATGCAGTCCTGGAACTCTTCCAACAGTGTATATGTATCTAGATCGTTACTGTCTAATTCAGCAGCTGTAGCTGCACGTCACTACGCAAAACTCAAATGTGACCAACCTGAACTAAAATGACTGGAAAGTGTAAAGCACACTCTGACTTAGAAGGACACAAACAAATAAAAGAGAGAGGGAGAAATAAAAAGTAGTTTAATAATTCTTATATTGGTTACATGTGCTTGGACATATTGAGACAAATAAAGCACAATTAAAAATTAATTTCAGCTATTTTTACTGTGACTTCTATGAAATTTAAATTTCTCATGTGGCTGGCTTTCAATTCCTGTGGGAGAACTGTTCTCAAACCCCAAGAAAGCATAGCTTTCTCCTTTCACCCTCCCACCACTCCCTGACTCCTAACTTCGCAATTCCCACCCAGCACATCAGTTTGCTATACAATGGTCTGTCCCAGCACCATTGGCAATCATTATTCTTCCTTGCTTGTGGCCAGAGGTGGTATATTTCTGAATTTAGAATCAAAAGTAGAAGCTAAATTATAAATATGATGGAAGAATAATCACCTCACAGCATAGCTGCTAAGGACACGCTGGTTTAAGACTTGCTCTGACAGGCAAGAAGATGTTCAGAGATAAATATACAACACAAGACGCTCAGAAGATGCTCTGCCCATAACTGTTACCGCAACACTTCCAACCACGAGATGGGTCAGTTCTTAAACAAGCAAACATATTCTGGGGTTACTAAGCTCAGGACTTTTAAACCCTTTAGACAAGTCTCAAGGTTAAAGAAACACTGCCTTTACTTCCTGCACTTTATCAGACCGGGTAGAATCCAGCTCACCCATTCCTCTGCTGCAAAAGGTTGTTCAGGCAGCCCTTCTGAAACTGTGCCCCGAAGGTGGGGTTCAGTCCCAGGAATGGGCCCTGAACACCCACATGCAATTCAGAGAACTTTCAGGTAGGGCTGAGACCATAACTCAAATAGGATAGACTATATAAGAGGTGGAAAGGCACGGGGGTAGGAGGATCCCAAAATAATAAACTACAAGTTCCTTTCAGATCATTTTTTAACATTTTCTTTTGATTCTTAAATGCCATGAAGAGGATTAGTTGTTTCCAGAGATTCCTTAACATACCCACATGCCCAGCATTGCTATTTAAAATAATAAAAAAAACTGGTACAGGCCAGGCGCTAACCTCTGAGGAAGGATGCTGACTGCGAGCCTTCAGCTTGGCATCCTGGCACACAATGGATGATGCCAGCTCTGCATGCTTCATTGCAGCCCTAAGCTCACCCTGGGACTGTTCATATCTTCAAATGCTAACCCCATAAACATCCTTCAATCCCATCATTGCAGGCCTCTGTTTCCTTTCTCCTTCCCCCTTTTCTCCAGATTCTCACTTAATGAATACCAGGAAGCAGACAGACATGGTAGGAGCCATCATAGAGACCAGGTAACTCTGAAGTTTGTGGATGGCTGGTAAAGAGCAAACTCATTCACTGGAGTTTGTCTTGCCATTCACAACAATTACAAGAATAGGAAACAGTTGGTGTTGCTTCACCAAGTACCCTGTGCATTGAAAGAGGGAATCCTTCAGATCCCTTTTCCAGTAGGAAGAAAAAAAATCTAGAAAAAGAAACATTTCCCCCCCCCATATTTAGTTTTTATTCATAATCATAATCTTAGATCTGCAAACCAGCTAAAGAGGAATAAGTAAAACCTGGACACAAAATGCTGCAGGAAGGGCACAACGATCAAGAACTACATGAGCAGATGGATGCACTGCCCTCCAGCTGCAGCTGCAAGGGTCTAATGGTCAAGGAGCATGCATGGCAGAACTCTCAGCACTGTCCACAGTCAGCAGCAGTCAGCTCCTTGCCAGATCTGCTGTTCCTGGACCCAAGGTGCTCTGCGACTACCACAATGATCGTGCCTTCTTCTGCTTCCCAAAGACCACTTTTGTCATCCAGCCACTCAGTCTCAGCAGTTCAGACTGCCAACTGTTCACATGTGGCCCATCACTTGCCATGGACAAGCTATAGGAACTGTATGCTCAGAATGAAGTTCTCAACCTCAAAATTCACCCCATAGATGAACTTAACCACTAGTGTGTGTCATTATGGCATGTGAAGTTATCACCCTGGCACATGAATCCTGGAATAATTAGGTGAGTAGGGGAATCCTTGTTACCAAATCCTTTCTGCTAATTGCCAGGAGCAGCAACATTTTCTGCTGTCTCTGAAACGCTGTCTGTAAGCAATTCAAAGGAGATAAGACCCTGGGGGCTCATCATTGACAACGATATCTAAAAACACAGCATAGCTGACCATGGCAGCCAGCAAGCATCTACAGGGCACAGCAGAATCTTCACAGCCACCAGAGGAAATCTTGCATGGCCCAGAAGACTTAGCTCTTGCCATGCATGATACTTGCTTTATTTAACTTGGTATCACACTGTATTCATTAGAACATTGGAAGAGCTGTTGCCATTGATGACTTTAATCTCTGGGTTCACAAAGTTTTATTCCTGTCATTGTTAATGAAGCTGAGAACTTGAGACTAGGCAGGTCATGGACCTTAGGGAAAAACCTACAAGTATTATTCTGACAAATGAACATAGCAATGAAAGGACTCCTGATGATACCCACAGATCAGAGTATCTTTCGGCCCTCACCAGAGGAACTTCTTCTTTGCAATAGATGGCCATTAACATAGAAACTCACAACTGGATGATGTGCAGAAAGTGAGGGACTTTGGAGCACTCGCTCCTGTACGGGATATCTATGTGGGAGAAGAAGTGGGAGGGTTATACCAACCAGAGGTAATAGACAATTTTAAGGAAACAGAATTTTCTGGACAGAGCCAAGCAGATGCACATATTAACTCACAGATACCATAATGGGCTCGAGCCAAACAAAAGCTCAGCATAGAAGAGGTGAAGTGGGCATAAAATTTCCACCCCTAGTCAAGAGACTATTCATAAATTTTTTTCTTTTTCTCCATTTAAGTGACACTGGGTCTATCAACAACACTCCAGCACAGATCTCATGGTCAGGAGAATCCTGAAACATTTCTCACAAACACACACACACACACACACACACAAAGGATATCATTAGAGAGCATCTTATTT